GCTGTATTTCATTTCAGTTTCCAGGTTCTTCAGCAGGAGCTCTTGTGCATTTCCATGCATATTATTCAGAGCATTCAGCATTCACAGTCATCTATCTCCAGAACTGTTACCAGTTTTGCTTGTTGTCTTCAGAGAGCTTCAGCATGGTATACCTATAATGGATGAAAATGACAACAGGTTAGGAGAGTCATCAAAGGCTGCGCAGCAGGCCATCTCTCAGGTTGTGGTTTCCAGGATTCTCATGGCTTCTCCGGGAATGGGTATGGAAGTGTTTTCTCACTTTAACATCTGGCTTCAGATATTATTATTAATTTCAGAAATAAAATCAGTTTTCCTCTCTTTTCAGCTATTCCCCCATTTTTAATGAACCATTTGGAAAAGAAGGCCTTTCTGAGGGTAAGCACACGCCTGAGTTAAGACAAAATATGAGAAATGCATTTGTTGCATTAAATGTCAGCAAGTTAGACGATCATTAACTGCCTAGCTCCTTTTTATGATCACATATTAGAGAGACCAAAAGCCCCGAGTGCATGAGGCCGCTCTCGGATTCTCTGCCGCTTTTGTGCCTCTCACTCATTTTTTTCTGCCTGGCCTTTTTCAGAGGTTCCCATGGATGAATGCACCTATTCAAGTCAGCCTGGTGGGATTCTGGTGAGTTGCCAGAGATAGTTCACCTGATACGTTCACCATCATGTGCAGTCTTCTTTTTACTACAAACACCCCACAATCATAACATAAGATCACACTGATGATAAATGCTTCCATTTACAGTGTAGTGTAATGCCCCTAATAAAATGCCCTCATAAAATTTGTTAGCTCAGTGGATAACGATATGAAGATGCTTTAGCCCGTGTGTGGCTCAATAACTTAATTATTTTTTACATGAAACTGAATCTGCTGCTTCCTTTTTTTTCTTTCATGATGACTTGCACATCATCACCCAGCTTTTCACTTTGTGCTTCCTACTCGGCGTTGCCTCACGAGCCCTCGGTGCGACCAGTTAAAGTCTTGTGTAACTCACATGACTGTGATCAGGACCACATTCTGCAAGCTAATCCACAAAAATGGGGAAGCAGGCTCCTTTTAGGAGAACGCTAATCCACACACTTCCACAATGTGTAATGGAAGTTTACTTATATGCTTCATTACTTAAATAATGTGCAGATGTTTCTGCACCCACAAGGATGAAATTACCGTACACCTGGTGTTTATCAGTGCTTCAACAGTGCTTTGTGCTTTTGGTTTGCAGGTAGTGTATATGCCCTCCATTTATGCCGACTTTCTTCTAATTGGCTGCCCCTCGTAAATTGAAGGTGTGACATCACCTGTTAGTTTCTAGATTCCCATTTCGAAGCTTCGAGATGAACGTTTTTGTCGCTGCCATCTTGCTTGCCAGAAAATGGATGTGACACGGACTCTGGCTCTGATTGATAACTAGTTAGCTCATGAGTGTATGATTTCCATATCTTAGGTAATCCTCCATTTTGAAACATGGTACGACCAAGATTTACAGAACAGGTTTCATTTTTTTATTTGATGTGCCCCTAAAGAAGTGATTGATCCCATAAACTCAGCAGTGTTCACAGAGGTCAAGAATGAAAGCTTTTCATGGAGATTTCTATAATCAGAGCTATCGCCATCTGGTGGCCTTCTGATAGAATGCAGGTTTAAAGCTGTTCCCCCTCCCTGTGATGTTATAGATCAGGGGTCTCAAACTTAAATGACCGGTGGGCCGCTGCTGCCGCCGTCATCTCGTTGGAGGGCCACTTTAGTGTTCAAGTAGTAAAAAAAAAAAACAATGAACCAAACAAGAAAACACCCACAAATATTGTCTTGTTTGTTTTTTTAAAATTTCAAATACTTTTGCCCCCCTAGGCTGCGTGATTGAGACCTCTGTTAAAAGTTATAGGTGGACAGATTGATCCAAATACCAATAATTTCAGTACCATCAGACTGATATCAGTATCTCCCCTCAATAAGCTCCCGATAAATGGACATTTACATCATTTTTTGAAATAACCTTGTTTTATAGAAGCTTCCACCATCACAGCAGTGTGTCTGTGTAAATGTGTGAGTTTATGTAAACAGTTTGGTCCATTCTTCCCTACAACGTTGCTTCAGTTCATTCAGGTTTGCAGGCATTCATTAATGCCACAATGTCACAGTATTTCAGTCAGACTCTGACTCGGCCATTGCACCTTTTTTCTGTTCTTAGGATTATCGTCCTGTCACATGACTTTCATATGACTCTAGAACACTTTGGTATACAGATGCGTTCACTGTTAACTCAGTGACTGCAGGGTTTCTACAACCTGATGCTGCAAAACAGGCTTTCCAAATCATCAGCCCTCCACCATCCTCCCTGACAGTTGGTATCAGGTGTGCTGGTATGTTGTGGTTGAGTTGCTCCAGAAAGCTTGAGGTTTGTTCAGATGCAACTTTGCAAACTTAAGCTACCATGTTCTTTTTAAAGAGAACGGACTTTTTCCTGGAAACCTGTCCAAAGACACCATACCCGTTCAGTCTTTTTCTAATTGTGCTGTCATGAACTTCTTAAATTCAACATGCTGACTGAGGCCTGCAGAGTCTGAGACATAGTTCTTGAGGGGCTTTTGTTACCCCTCATCTATACTAAGCTGATGGGGCATTGTTATCACCTGGCCAGGCGGTGTGGACACGTAAGTTTGCAAATGCGATAACTTGAGAACCAAGCAACATAAGAGCTATAAATTGATACCATAGGTGTATCTACTAAAAATCTCTAAGTTTGAATCTCGGTGAGCTCGAGAGGCCTTTAATTTAAAAACACGTGAGCTCATCATTTCCGTTTCTTGTTTTTCAGCCTCGTGTTTGCCACACCACTCTGTTGTGCTTTATTCCCTCAGAAAAGGTGAGTGAACCATTTTGAAGTTATTAGTAGTAAATCATCTTATTATTATGTGAATATATGCATGAGTCTTTTTCTGCCCAAAAGGATGCATTACATGCCTACATTGTATGCATTTGACCCATTAACCCCTTTTATTTATTTTTTGCCCTCTAATCCAGCTCTATGTCAGTCAGCCGCTTGGAGCCGGAGCTGCAGGAGAAAATCCGTGCCAACCACCCAGGAGTGGAGAGGGTTTACTTCAACAAAGGGCTATGAGTGTGTGCAACCCCCCCAATCACCGCCCAACCTCATCCGAACACTGCCATAACACAGCTGCAGGCTCGCTCCTCACGTCTCTGCCAGCTCTCCTCATTCAGTGTGCCAAAGTTAAGTTTTTCTCTCCTCACCTCCACCGATCCAGATGGATATCTGAGGACTCCCCCTCGCTGTCAGCCTCTTTGTAATGAGCTGTTCACGTTTGTCAGTGATTGTAGATTTTACTGAAACTGCTGAAGATGTTCTCCAAGCGGGATTAAAAGTTTGATGTTTATCTCGACAGATGTTTAGTGGCCCATCGTAAGGTTTTCTTCTGTGCCATGTTTTTATTACTTTAATGTCTGTGACTTGTTGATCTTATGTTGCCATGAAACCACTGTCACATCTGTCTGCCCGGCGGTTTTTCTTTTTTCTGGTCTTTATTCTGACTAGTCAGATCTGATTACATTTGCCAAATCTGTACTTTTTAAACCTCTGTCAAGGATTTCAACCTCCTGGTGTTCACTTTAACTCACCTGCCAAATGAGTGATACTAAACAAGCCTTCTCCAGGGATACACCCTTTAAAATGGGATGTTATAATAGGCCAGCACGGTGCTATTTCATGTCTGAATAATCAGTGTTTATTGTTCTATTTATTCTAATTGCTAGACACGTGTGAACAAACCACTCTCTGGCTTGTTGAAAAGTATTCTTCTGCCTCTTTAGTGACACAGAGGCTGTGTTCAGGAACACTGACAATAAATGTTAAATTCATATCAATCATTTCAGAAAAAACACGCTGGTTCTTACTTCTACCAAGCCCAATTCTAGTATGAGAGATCTAATAACAACACAAGGTGGCAGAAGTGTTTTTACATCGTTATATGCATTTAGAGTGTCAGATATAGATGTTATAGATGTTATAGACTTCTCATGGATGCTATTTGTCAACGCCACACCTAAATGGTTCATCTCGCTAACACTCTGCCTGCTTTGAAAACTTCAAACAGTAACACATTTCGAGTCCGGTGAGTTTGAGGAATGCACAAACTCCCAGCCAAAAAGATATCTGAAGCAAAGACCTCCAGCGCCCCCTTTTACTTTAGCTGCACCTCAGTCATATCTGCACATGCCATGACCAAGTTCAAGCCAAGCGAGCTGATAAAGCAGGTAGATTTTCCGCTCTGTACTTTTGTTCTGCAGTCAGGATTCAGATAACGCGTGTTTGGACACAGTTGATTAACCTGTTGTGTCTAAAAGAATGTGTCTGTAAACTGTTGTAAACTCGCTTTCGGTGCCAGGCCAAGCGCATCACCGGACATTTTTAAAATCACGAGTGGGAGAAAAAAAAAGAACAAAGATTAACTCAAAGCAACAAAACTCACACCTTTAACCCAACTCAAATGTGTTTCTGGAACCCAGCGTGCATTCAACAAAAATTAAATGCTTTTGAAATATTTACAGACTCCTTCCCATATGATGTAATTTTTTGTGAGGTGTTTTTAAATGTTTAAACTCTGTAATCTCTTTGAATTTATCGCTGTAAAATTACAATTCTAGATTTTCAGTGTTTTCAGAGAGACGCCCTGGAGCTCTCTCCAGTTTATTGAAGTGAAATTTGTTATTCTCGTGTTCATGGTGACTGAATGTAGCACTTTCCAATTCCAGCTGTTTGCGGTGTGTCTAGAAAAGCACAATGTTGTAGCAGATTTCCAAATGCTGCACATTTTTAGAACCACACCGATTTCAGTCCGTGCTTGATCAGTTAACTCTAACAATTAAGAAAATTCAATTTACCAAATCAAATGAAATTTCAACACAGCCAAAGCGAGACGAATCAACTCGAGAGGAAGTCATTTATAGCTCGCATTAATAATTTTTAAAATACTGTGACAAAGAATGTTTTCTGATTGTTTTGCAGTACACTGGGGTGATGTAATGTTTTGACTAACCAGATGAAATAAACTTGATAAAATCCCACAGCGAGGGTCGTTGTTGATCCACAGTGCCATCTAGTGGCTTAAAGCAAAAACAGCAATGTGATGCTACGAAAGCATTTTTTATTCTAAAAGGCACACAATGTTCAGAAGAACGCGCAAACATGGACACAGATATCTGAGGCCTTATGGACACTTGAAAAAGGCATTGCACAAAAACAGCATTCTGGCAGAACTGACCAGACCAGAGTGCATCATGGGGAAGTGGCAGGATGTGCTGATGTACTTATCATCAGGAGGAAAAGCAAGAGAGAAATAATTCGGAAACCAAAATAGCTCAACTGTTTTCTAATGATTCACAACAGCAGTGGCTGTTCAGCATCCTCCTCAAATCTGGTGGGATCTAAATAGTACTGAACTATTACTATTATTCTAGCGTTTGCTTCTCAGTAACTTGTTTGGCGGACTGCTGGGACACAGCTGTGTTTACTCTGTTCGTGCTGAGTCTCTTTGATCAAGTGCAACAGCATCAATCCTATTAAAAAGGAAAGAAAAAAGCTGAGAAAGTGACAGCCTTGCATTAACGACAGTAACACAACCTTGCTTACTGCAGACACAAGGAAGGACACGACGGCATTTAGAGTTCAGCCATTTCAAAACACAAGCCTAATTGCAACAACTCAAAGACATCCAAGAACATCATAATCCATGTAACAACTTCTGCTTCACTGCAACAGCAAACAATCTTCACATACATTGACAGATGACTGACTACAGCTGGAGCGAGTTGACGCATGCTGAAACTAGAGCTTAAATCGACCTTCAGCAGACCTCTGCTCACACTTTGTGAAGATCAAGTCCAAGATAACCTCTGAATGCTGCTATCTTTGGAATGTGTTGAAATTGCCGGGTGGCACTTCAACTGGCACTTTAGGTAACACTGACATTCACATCTCACTCCTTAGTTTTGCTTAACAATCCCTTTTGCAGCTTGTTATAAAGTTTTTATGCATAACTTTTCTAAGCAATCACACATTTTTTGGGAACGTCAAAATCATAATTTACATTTGGATTCAAGAACTTCATGTTTTACATTGATGTAGTGAAAAAAAAAAATCGATAAATAATAGTATAAATAGTTTGGAATATAATTATACAACACTTTTCCATTTAGGGAGATTAACTAAAATAAAACTCTACTCTGTCCACTCTTAGGAAGGGCACCACTGTTTAAATGTCTTTGGATAGATGTTCAAGATTGTAAAGTTGCAACGATGATCACAGCTCTGCTTCCTGGATTGGCACCTGCTTCATGGCTCTGAAGAAGCTGACACGGGAGAGTTGTGGATTGTAGTGTCAATGAGTTTGTCTAAGAGTGTCCCCAAGAGCGTAACCTCAACAAAACCCATCTCATCATAGTCTGAAGAGTGTGATCAGTGGGTTGGGCTAAAAGAAAACAAGGGAAAGCTTTCTTCACGTAAACAGTGCTGCCCTGAGGGCACCTACAGCAGATGGAAGGGCCATTATTCAATGTAACCCTTTTGACTTAGCATGGCCCAGCCTGGAATAAACGCACTTTCTATTGTAAGCTCCTCAGATTCAACACAAGTCATCCTCGTGGCTCGCAGCGTCCCCGACCAGCAGCGAGTGTTTGTCGGGGTCGCCGAGCACGAAGCTGTTGACTGAATGCTTGTCAGAGCGCAGCGAGTTGATTGAGGCTCGACTGTAGTTGACGATGCGGTCTAGCAGACTAAGTTTGGGGGACGGGCGACGCATCTCGCCCATGCCGATGTGGACGCTGACGTCAGACAGGCTGCCCTGCCGCCTGCTGGTACCCAGTCTGGCCTCCAGCTTCTCTGCAGTGGGTTTAGTGTAACTACATAAAGATGAAGGGGATAAAATGGACAGAAGTTTTTATGAATTAACACAAAATACACACAAAATACTTCAACAAAACTCCAAATATTTCATTACCATTTAAGTAGAAGCGAGGACAAAACCACAGAGACTGATGACAACGCCATGGCAGCAGAGCCCATCCACGGCTGTAACACCAGGCCGATGGGAAGGAACACCCCTGTAAATAGATGAGGTTCGTATTTCCACAAGTGATTTCACTATGATACTAAAAAAGTGGATGACCTCACTCTGCATTCAGCCCACCAAAGAACCTACCAGCAGCAATAGGAATTCCAACCAGGTTGTAGATAAGAGCGAAGACAAAGTTGATCCTGATCCTCTTGACGGTCTTTTTAGAGAGGTCAATACTGCCGACCACATCCAGCAGGTCATTCTGAAGACAAGAGAACAACACTGGGTAAATGAGCAGGGCGTTAATAGCAATTTGTGGCAAAAAGGTGAAAAAGTTGAAATGCTTTAAGTAAAATCCTCTCAGCACAAAGCTTTAAAAAACAAACAAAAAAACAAAACAGATCAACTGTTTTTATTTCAGTCTACAAGGTTTTTTTATGTTAGACTTTTGTTTCTCAAGTTGGAGAGTGACTGGTGACCTCTGTGTCTGTTGTGTTGTCTGCATGTGATTCACATCATGATAAATATCATCTGTGCTGCTTTCATGTTACAAAACAGACACCTTTGTCGGATCAGATTCTCACCCTGATCAGCACCACATCTGCGGCCTCTATGGCCACATCTGTCCCGGTTCCTATGGCGATGCCCACGTCAGCCATGGCCAGAGCGGGCGAGTCGTTGACGCCGTCACCCACCATGGCGACCCTCTTTCCCGCCTGCTGCAGCTGTTCCACTTTGGCCACCTTGTGGGAGGGCAGCACCTCAGCGAACACTTTCCTGATGCCGACCTGGTGGACAAAAAGCAGAATGATGAGCTCAGAAATCAAACACGTGTTGGGTTTCCAGCTTAATATGACATTAAAGCAGAAAAGCAAAAAAATCGAAGCCATCATCTCTGTTACAACTTCACCATCTAGTAACAAAAGTCTAATGATAGCATCAGTATTAATCAGCTCTTCATTCGTCTGCTTTGCTTACCTGAGCAGCAATAGCCCGAGCTGTCTTGCTGTTGTCTCCAGTCATCAGCACAACTTCCAGACCCATGTTGGTCAGCGTGTGGACCGCCAACTCAGCCTCTGGTTTCACTGTGTCTGCTATGGCTATCATTGCACACAGCAGGTCTATGCACAGAAAAAAAGGTTTTTAAGTTTCAAGCAGTCAGAAAGTGAGAGAAAAGAGTCAATTTTAACATTGCTACTCACCGTCTACGGCCACCAGAACAGCAGTGCGTCCTCTGCGCTCGTGCTCGATCATGGCTTCGTCGATTTCAGGTGTGACTTGCAGGCAGTTCCTCCTCATCCACTCCCTGTTCCCAATCAGGACTACATAGGTGGCTGTCTGAAGCAGGCCTGCAAACAACAGCAAGAAGGCATAAAAGCAAGTGAAACACAACTTTACAGCAACTGTAATCGTGCAGTAGGAATGCACTTCCAAACATACTTTGCGGCTGTGGGTCCATGATGAGTGGATGGGAGCTGGTGCATGTCCGGCTGTCGCTGATCTGGACTAGGACACTGTTGCGCTGGTTGTTGTCCTCGCTGTCACTGTCCAACTGCTTCAGCAGACTCTCTGTGTTGCTCACCTGACATCGGATGCCACAGCCCGGCACCGCCTGAAAGTCCACGCACGTGCCAAGAGACTCTGTGCCAAGCTCCTGCACGCAAATAACAATGGATCAACATCTTCCACATATACATACTGTAGATTATCATTCATCTCACCGTGGGGTCAAATCTGATGAAAGGCAAACCTGTTTGCAGTATTTGGTAATAGCGGCTCCGAGCGGGTGTTCACTGTTGTTCTCAGCTGTGGCTACAATGGCCAGCAGGCGGGAGCGAGGCATCTTATTCCCCTCCACCGCGATCTTTACTTGAACAACCTTTGGGGCCCCGTATGTAATGGTGCCGGTCTTGTCAAACACCACAGACTGAACCTGCATATGAAAGATAATATTATAAGTTATTTACTTTGTGATCCCAGAAATGATATCTAAATATAAAAGACGTTTATCACCTCCAACATCGAGAATTTAATTATTTATTCATGTGTCTCATCTTTAACAGTCTTTAAGATTTTTTTTTAATATTTTTTAACGATTAAAGCAGGAGATGGGAATTTTTTTCAGAATAACAGCTCTCAAGCAAATTAAAGAATGTGGAAAAATTATTACAATTCATGAAACAGAAAACTACAATATAAAAATACTGGCGCCCCCAGTGCTACCCCTCAGGCTTCTAGTAGATATACCTACTGTATCAATTTCAAAATCCTACAGCACCTTGTTCTCAGAGAACTCTGACCTTGATCATGCGGTCACTGAGATTGTAAACTGAGATTTTTAGTAGATACACCTATGGCATGAATTTAAAACTCCTCATTCGAGTTATCGCATTCACAGACATAACAGGGTGATGATAATACTCTGATAACCTCCTGAAAACTGGGGGGGGGGGATCTTCCCATTGAACATTTTTTGTTTAACATTTTTTTTGTGATTTCCTTCCTCTTTGCAGCTAAAAGAGGCCACTCAAACACATGACATATCAGCGGAAAACCCAGGATGTCCTCTATTTAGTACATCAGGACTTAGTGGGGTAGCTCAAATAAGTCAAAAGATATAGACCAACAACAAATTAGAGCAGGGCGATATGACCAAAAATATTTATCACGATATACATTTGAAAATTTGCGATAACGATATAACTGACGATATAATTGACACTAGACAAAATGCTTTACAACTCCACAACTTTATTAGTGCAAAAAACCCCATCAATGTATTTTCACTTAAACAAGCAGCTGTTTTTTATGTGCATTAAAGTTATATAAAAATTTAACAGTGCAAATGCAAATTCCTTGCTGACAGTTTAACCAAAAGGCATTTCCAGTGGAAATTGGCCGACATATCCTCAGCATAACCATGTATAATATCCACAAAACTTAAAAAGAGGTTATAGACACACAATACGGTAATATTATGTTGAAGCACAGTACGTATCACTCCGCGAGGCTCCTGCCTACGATAGCCGTAAT